AGGAGCAGGAGGCCTCAGAAGGCAACAGGAGTGGCTCCAATCCCACCAGGTGGCCCCAGGAGGCCCCGAGAGGCCCCTGGAGCCCCAGGAAGCCCCAGCAGGTGTCTAGAGGCCCCAGGAGGCCCCAGGCTCATGCGCAGAGACGCGCTCGCACTACTCAGCCTCATTCACACTCCAATTCGTTCGCAGTTAGATTCATGACCAGACCGTCACAACTGAAGCCCGTCTGCATTGAAAGCTCTTGCGCCTGGAAGCTCACGGCGGACAGGCCCATGCGAGCAGATGCACATATGAGGAGCTCCACGCAGTGAGTAATTGTCTGACTGCCCTTCTCCGCTGAGAAAAAATAGACCTGTGCCGGTTCAGTGGTGCAGCTGGTGATTGGCGACACGTGATAAGGGCGCCCCCCAGCTTGCCCCTGCTCGCCGCGCTTGTTTTTCTCCGAAACCGAAGATCCCAGCCCAGCTTTCTCGCGCCCCCCTAGGTGGCACGCCTCTCCTCTGTCGCCCTCATCCACGCTGCGCGCGCCGCCCAACTCCCCGCCCGGTGTCCAACCCATTCTGTAGCATAGACCTTCCAATTCTGCACTTGTAAAGCGCGTTGTACTTCTCCGGGCCTTCCTCGCCGTCGCGCTTTTCCGCCGCACGCACTCTTTGCCCCAGCTTCTTGCTGAGCTGCTCGGGGCCCTCCAGGGTGGCAGCGGGCTCTAGCATCACCCATGTTAGTTCTACTGGCACCCACCACGGCGGGGGGGCTCGCCGTCGCGCCGCTTTCCTGCAGCAGCGCAGCACGCCCCCCTTGCCCCTCTCCGCTTGCGCTTTCAACTCCATATCCAGTGGTGGCGGCATTTGCACTGCCATCATCTCGCCCTGCTCCTTCCCATGCCCTTCCAGGTCCATCGGCTCTGCTGTCAGCGTTCTTCACGGGGGCGCCTGCCTAGCTCTGTAAACAACTTTTTCTGCGCTCCACCAAGTCCGCGCTGAACAATAATATCTCCTTCTGGTCCTCTCCAATTTGCCCTGGGCCTGCGCATCTCGCTGAAATCGTTGCTCTTGCCCGCCCTCCAGATTCCCTTTGTCTGCCCCCACTGTTGATGCCTTTTCCAAACCCGTCCTACGTTTACGCAATGAAGCTTGCATCTGCGCCAGCTCCTGCTTGATCTCCCCCCCATCTTTCCGGCGCGTCAGAGTTTGCCATGCACGCTCTTAACTTCGTCTTTTTCTGCCAGAAGGGAGTGTCGCGGCAACTCGAACGCGGCCACGCCCTCGTCGTCCCGCTTCTTCCTCATCGGGAACACCTCTCTCATGGCGTTCCTGCCCGGCCCGCTCCACTTCTTCCACGTCTGGTCTGCTGCAGGGCGCGTCCGCAGCTCCCACCACCCTCCTGCCGCCGCAAGCCCCCCATGAGTCGCGCCCCGAGAAAACCTCGCCAAAGCTTCTACCGGGGGGTCGGCAGGGCCCTCACGCGTTGCACTCCGAGAAAACGTCGCCAATGCTTCACCTGAAAGAACAGCCTGGGTCGCACTCCGAGAGAACCTCGCAACTGCCCCTCCTTGCTGATGCGAGGGGGCGGCCTGCAGGCAGCGGTCGAACGCGCGCGGGAATTCCGCCCTCTGCCGACCTTTCCTCAAGCACTCCATCAACATGTTGCGGAACACAAATTCGTCTACCCTCTGCTGCCTGTGCTTGCCCGAAAGAATGAGAACGGTGCTCAAGTCCGATATTCAAGCCCAAGGGGGCGTGGTCTCTGCGCACTTTCGATTCGATATTCTGCAGATTCTTCGCTCTCAATGCTGCGCACCTCTGCACATGACGTAAGGCCCCCGTCAGTATGGCTACGTGGTCTTTCTTGCTCGTCATCACCTTCTCTCTTCTACACAGTAGTAAGTAGGCCCACAATCTCTGAAAGTCGCGACCACCGACTGTGAACGCAAAATTCGTTGAATGTTGTTGCACTGTCGTTATCCACTTCCTCAGCAATTGGTCCCAACGCTGCTGCGCGTTTGCTCAAACTGCGTCTGCTGACCACCAAATGCCTGCTGTCTGACCTGTGCAATCCCAATTGGCTGTGGATGCCCCCTCCCGCAATGGTAGTATATCTGCCACCTGCGTCATCGTATATATCCTAGACTCACTTCATGCTTTTCTATATCATTCCATTGTTCGTGTACCCTGCCTGCCTGCCGGAAAATAAGCTGCAAATATTGTGACGTCGTACGCTCCCGTCCTCAGTCGGATTCCTGCCTCTACCGAGCAGTTGGACCGGAGGTGAGTACTGCGCGTGGAAGGCCCTGTCATCATCTCGTTGGAAACCAGGAGCGTCGCACCACACGACTTGGTGATCCATGTCCCTTCCCTGCCCCGATCTGCAATGCCGTATGATATTTGCGGCTCGTCTTCTTCACCGGCTCTGGTCCAGCCCATTGGTGAATCCCTGTCATTACAATCGCATCCAACTCTCGTAGTGCACTGTTTATCTCCTCCCGCCTGTCCGTGGTATTTGCCGCAAGAGGATTGTAGCATACCAGCTTCATCCATCAGCGCCTATGACAAAAGCGGCGAAGTCGCCATCCATCCGCCATGCCCCCCAAGCTCCCTCTCTGACCCGAACGATTGCAAGGCGGTCGTTGCGAGAGAGTTTCAGCAACTCCTTTCTCCGTCGGTTCTCAAAGTACCTGAGCCCCCAACGCCGACTAGGAGGAGGAGGGGGACGAGGAGGAGGAGGAAGAGGAGGAGGAGGACGAGAAGAGGTGGAGGCGGAGGAGGAGGAGGGGGGGCGGACCGGTCCCCCCCCCTTCCAGGCGTCCAGAACGCGCTCTTTTGCAGATCTCAGGGGGTCCCCCAATGCTAGCGTACAGCACCGATCTCCGAAAAAAACACGCTGCAGCAGGAGCTCGACCACAAGATACCTGCCACGAGAAGCCCAACCCTGACACCCCAGGACGTCTAGTCATTCTTGGTGTGGGAACGCCACGCCTTCCACAGCAAAACCATCGAAGCCCAGGAAACCCAAGGTACCCTGGAAACCCAAGGTACCCTGGAGACGAGCAGGGTGTTTCCTGGCATGGGCGTCCGCCGTAGCGCGCAACACCGACCCCATAAAAGCACGCTGTCCCCCGAGTTCGAAAAGCCCTCCGTGCACGCTGCCCCTGTGAGGCAAGAGGCCCCCCCCGCGAGGGATCAGCATTGCCCCCCCGTCCAAAAGGCTTCCCCCGTGCACGCCACCTTCGCAATCAAAGGATCCGGCGGGCCCCCCACGTCGCACGCTGCCCCGTGCAAGAGGGGGGGGTCGCCAAATCCATGGATCGGGGTTTCCCATACTTCGGCGGGGACAATGCAGGGAAAGCCATAGGTCGCCAGATTCCCCAAGGGGTTCCTGGCGACCTATGGTGCTCCCATAATTCCAGGAGGAGTTTTTTTTTAAGGTCGTGGGGCTCGCGCCTGACGCCCTGCGACCTCGGGTTCCCCAAAATCCGCCTCTGGAACCTACCAAAGCATGGGGAACCCATACACGGACGGCAGGCTCTCTGGAGCCCTTCTGGGGCCCTTCTGGGCCGCAGTCCTATAAAGTGCGGCCAGAAGCCGCCTCGCGCGGCGGCGGAAATCCGCGACCTCCCTTTGGGAACGCGACCCGTCGCGAATCCACGCCCCCTGGATCCATGCTTGCGATCGCCCGGAGCAGTCAGGGTGGCCTGGCTCGGTCTGGGTCCGCCCTGAGGCGGACCAGCGGGCTTGCTCGAGGCCCTCGGCAGCCACACGCCCCTTCGGAATCGGACTCGCGACCCCGCAGACGCTGTCTGCATCGCGTCGCGTCCGTCATGGGCGATCGTCAGGCCGTCGGGCCCAAAACGCTCGGAACATGGCGCCCTGCCCCCCCACAGTCCAACCCAACGCCCACGTCGGCCGAGACAGACTCGCACAAGGAGAGGCGAGGAGCAGCGGGGGCGGGAAGCGGACGGCCACAAAGAGGCGGGGAAGCGGTAGGAAACAGTCGTGCTCCTCTTCTCTACTCTCGAGAAGACCAAGCGCACCTCCGTCCGTGCCAGACAGAAGTGGCTGTCCTTCGCCCCCGCATCTCATTCGAGTTCCCTCCAGCTAACTCAAGACCCTACATATTCGCTGCCTCTTGATCGAGATGTCATGGATCGGCTCTCCCGCGGCCATTGAGGCCGATCCGTGCACACCCAGAACGGTCTCGCCGCGGCGCCGCTGCTGGAAAGCATTCAGAGGCCACAACAACGCCAAGAGCCAACGAGCACGTCCGAATACCTCGAGCCTCGGACCTCCAAGCCTCGAGAGAGAACCTCCCAGGCCTCGAACATCTCGTCCGATAACGTCTGAGAACGTCCAAAAACCTCGCACCTCGAGCCCGGAAATCGAACGCTGACGCGCGGGGATTCTCGGTGGCAACGCATGGGGCCCTCCCATACAATCTTGCTGGCTCTCACGAACCGGAGCTAATCGACGCTACTCGGCGGCACGCCGGCGCCGCGAATCGAGGCGGAATCGGCGCTCCCTCATCGATCGCCAGACGCTACCGCACGCCGATGCCCTCGAGGGACGGCACTTCAAAGGGCACACGAGGCCCCCATGATGTCCGACCACAAGAGTGGATTTAGGTCGGGCGTGTCCCCCTACGGGAGGGGGAGGCTCTTGGGCGAAAGATAACGACTACTCAAAAAAAAAGAATACCCCAAATTAGCCCCCAAAAAAACAAACAGCATCAAACAAAACGACTCCACACTATTTTTAATAACTGACTTTCCTACTTATATCTATATATCTGTAAATACACATATAACTATAAAAAATAACAAAAGCACCATGAAACAACAAACAAACAAACACACAAACAAACAAACAAACAAACAAACAAACAAACAAACAAACAAACAAACAAACAAACAACAAACAAACAAACAAACAAACAAACAAGCAAAACATAATCGCCATGTAGAGGGACAGGTCCGACTTGCAGGGCAGGCGCGGGCTCCCCGCGGCGTCCCCTCCAGAAGATGCGGCCCTCGCCGTGCTTGCGGCCGTCGCGGAACTGAGCGAGCCGGTGGGCGGGGGGGGGGAGGGGGAGGCGGAGGGAGGAGGGAGGAGGAGGAGGCGGAGGCGCAGGAGGAGGAGAAAGGAGGGAGGGGAGGAGGAGGAGGAGGCGGAGGAGAGGAGGAGAGGAGGAGGAGGAGGAGGAGGAGGGGAGGGAGGAGGAGAGGAGGGAGGAGGAGGAGGAGGAGGAGGAGGAGGAGGGAGGAGGAGGAGAGGAGGAGGGGAGGGGGGGGGGAGGGGAGGGGGGGGGGGAGGGGGGAGGCGGACGGAGAAGGGGAAAAGGAGGCAATCGAGGACGGGGGAGAGTGCTAGTTCCTCGGGGGTATTTCCTGGTGCGCTAGGGGCCCTACGCGCAAAGGGGCCCTGACGGTGGTGCACGCTGGCTATACACGGCCTGTCCGAGCTATAGGGCGTGCTGCACTAGAGGGAGTGGCCTGTAGTGGGGGGGGAATGGGGGAGGGGGGAACATGAGCCTGATCATCTCTGTTCATTAGGTGCACACTCACTTTCCACCTGGAAAGGGGGATCGGCACCGCCCCCTGTCGGGCACCCTTTTCGTGGCCCTGCGGAGCACTTTTTGGGCCAACGTCCGAGGTCGGACCCTCCACGAATACTCGGTTCCCGTAGGCATCGCTGTCGAATCGCACTCTTTGTGTAGATTACAGGATCGCGCACTGGGAAACTATCGCAAGTTCCACTGAGCAAAGGCCTAGTTCAGCACACAAGAACGTGCTATGGCCTTTAACGACCCAGCCCCCCCCCACCTGTGAATACGAGTAGCAAACCCGAGGGCGCGAAACTGCCCATTCAGCGTAACACGGTAAAAGCACGGGCTGGCCATCTACAGGCCCGCGGTCACCAGGATCGCGGTTCCGAAACACATGGGAAGACGACGGCCAAGTGTTCCACAACTTGGAAACCAGAGTAACCCACTACAGACGGCGCATGTGGAGGAGGGATGAAGGGGAAAAAATGGACACGCTTGCCTTTGACTGCACGTGTGGGCCCTGCGCCTGCACGAATACTGCAAGGAGATGCATGTAGGAGCCAACGCCAGGACACACGCATAACGCGCGAGCTGAATAATATGAAACCGAACAACTGGTGCCAGAACATGTATTGAGCCAGATGTCTTAAATACCCTCATTCGCTGCATCCCCCACAAATCTGCCATGATGGCACTGTCCCTGCCAGCATGTTCCTGATGTGGGGAAACCAATAATCCACCAGGTGGGGGTCGTTAGTCTCTAACACCTGTCCGATCATCATCGAAATCCCTATAGCAGTACTGGGTGGTCAAAAGCACAGCCGTCTCTCCCAACCACGAAGCAAATACCCGCATTCAATGATGTACCCGCTGCACGCAAGCAAGCACGCACAACAAGAAAGCGTTAATTGCACAACTAGCCACGTCTTGTCTGCACTCCGCTAGAACTCCATCGATGGCGCAATTGATTTTCATGTCGTGAAAGTTGCCAGCTCCACGGATCTCGACGCAGCCTGGAGCCCCGCGCGTTCGGTTCCCTGCAGGCATCGCCATAAAGTCTGGCGGGGCTGTCAGAGGTGCCAGTGGGCCAGCACTCCTGAAAACAAATCCCGTGGAAAGAGCATCGTAGCTCCAATCACCCGAGAAACTGAAATGGAGGTGCAGATGCCCAGTCCACAGAGATGAGTCTTCGTCGACAACTGCATGGGCACGCATCCTTTTGACTGCATGTCCGCGGGATCAGGTCGTGGTTTCGCTGTTAAGCAACATTGTCAACACTACAACGACAAAGCCAAGACTTGCTTTACGATGGCTCTTCTGCGTCACCGCAGCGGCCGCAAACGTCATCCATCGTGGGTTCTGGATCAAGCCACCTGGATTATTCAAATGCTCGCTCGCACTTTCGAACCTTAGCCCGCGCTCCACCGATGGCCGACATGAGCATCAATTCTACCAGTCGGCGGCCCGTCTCTGGAAACAACTGCAATTGCTCGGTCAGACTTCGATTGGAAACCTGTCGGAACAACGGGCCAAAGCACCATCACCGACATGTTCGCACGCATTCGCCCAAAGAGGAGCCATCGCAGCCGACATGGGAGAAGCGCTTGAAACCCTGGACACATGCGCCATCGATCGCCTCGACGCCCGTGAAATTGCTCGGAAACACCCTAGACGCCGGTCCTGGAGGCCCCGAGCAGTCGGCGACCTCGGCAACCATCCCATGCCCAAGAAATGGCACGGAATCGCAGACAGCGGCCCACGGACAGAGCGGCTCCTCTGGGCGCGGGGCGCGGCTTCCAACAGCTTGCGGACCACGGGCCACGCCCGAACGATACCTGCTCGAGATTCAGGCCGCGGCCTCCCCTCACTCAACCAGAGCGCAACCGTCCCATGGGTAAAATCAGTCGCTGGATCCAATCCGTTGACCGCCAACTCCAGTAGTCGTTGCACATCGCCCCCTGGCTCGGGCACTGCAAGCAGCTCCCAGCCGACAACGATGCCGAACCATCCTGGCCCGTTACCCCGAAGAGCCCGCTGCCGTAGCTTCCTGCTGCTTGCGCCACTTGCCTCTCCAGCCGAGAAGGGACAACGGCGCGCCTCATCGCCCTCGCGCACTCGACGACCATACGGCGCCGGGCTGCGCGCCCGGTGCCCCCCTTGTCCCGCTGCCCCCGAGCGCGACGGACACCGGCTCCAAGGCCGACGCCGTGGTTGCTGGCGCCCCTCGCCGCCGACATCATGACCCCGCGCAACCACAGGGCCCCAATAATGCCTGTAGCCAACCCAAACCCAATGCACCACGCCAATGATTTCAATGCAATCTGATGGCGTTGAGCTCTACTGCCCTGAGCCGCGGCGCCCAAGCGCTGGATGAGAGCCTTCTTAGCCTACGCCTCTGACCCCTTCGTGGACCGCGGGAGGTCCTCAATCAACAGATGATGGCTGCGCCAAACGCTGCCCGCGCGAATCGTCCCCATGCGGATATTCGCCATGGTCATAGCGACCCTCGCGCACGCGCGGAGGCCATGGACGATGGATGCTGGGCGCCAGCTCGACCCCCTTCGAGAACGCCCCAATCTTCTGAAGAGAGCGAGGGTGCGAGCAGTGGAATAATTCGACGTAGAGATCCGCGGCGCAAGCTCGAGTCACGAGCCGCTCGGCCCACCTTGGGCCGCGACGCGCGATCGCAGCACCAGTCTGCGTCGATCAGCGCGCGAATGCTCCCAGGAAGGGCCCCAGGCACTTCCTCGTCCAAGACCCTCTTGATGGCCTCCCACAGCGACGGGCCCCCTCGCATAGCAGACTCTCAGCGGGGCTCGGACCGCGCGGGCCAGGATTGGACCAAAGCCCCCGGGACATGCCCCGCCCCCATGGCGCCGCGGAGACCAGGCCCATAACGCGGCCACCCGGCATCTTTAAAACGCGAGGGCAGCCGATCGAGAGCGCGGCCAGCGCGGGCCACGCCGACGCACTTTCAGCAGGGTTGAAATGGAAGGTCAGCTCAGCCACGCCCTGTCGGGCAGACGCTCCACGTCGCAGGGCGCAGGGCGGTCGACGTCCAGACCTGCCAAAGGCTTCGCGGCCCCCGGGGCCTGACGGACATTCGGGGCCTCCAGCTGGCATATGGGGCTCTGGATCATCTCTGACGGCCTGCCCAAGGACTCTCGGGACGCCCCCGAGGTGCCCGCTGGGGTCGGAGACGGGGCAAGCCTTCTGGCATCGTCATTTACGTGTCTTGAATGCACAAAGTCCATTGGGCAAAACAACACTTGCGAACTGTTGGAGATCCCGAGAGTGGGCACGGGGTCTCGCACCATGGACCTGCGGGGCGCGCCTGAAGAGCCCCCCGAGGAGGCCCAGCCATGGAACTCCATCAGAGAAGCACTGAAGGCCGCCCCTGCGACTCGACCTTATAACTGTCTCCGAGAAAAGAGAATTCTAATCGAGCTCCACGACCAAGTATTCGTCGACCGCAGAAACGACCGCTGGCCATGAAAGACCTCGGCGGCACCAACTACTTGCATACACGCGCGTGAACTCGCCCTGGCCCGTCGTCAAAGAGGCGAGGGCACTCTCTTTCCATCTATGCTGCAGAAGCACACCGCTGCTACGAGCTCGACGCCTGCGCAACAACGATAGGGGCGCGCAGAGGCGCGCCCGCCGCCCAGTCGCAACGTCGCGCAAAGGCGCTGCACGACGCACGCCCGAGACTCGGAGCTCATGCTGGACAATGGAAGGGACCTGCGCGCGCCAGGGCCCCGCAGAGGGACCGTCGCCCCCCCCCCCCCGGCAAGCTCGCGCGGCACCCTGCACGCGCCCCACCAACAGAGACGGGGACCTGCTCAGGGCTCGCGCGGAAGGCCGCGGATCCCCCGAAGTAATCGGAGAGGGGAAAGGGTCGAGGCCAACCAACAGACTGGCGGTGCCCGCCCCCGAAAGAGCGTCGGGAACCACGCAACTAGTCCCGCGTTTGCGCCGGAGCCTGTGGCGCCGGGTCGACGATTAAAATATCGGCGCTGCCTTGACCGCGCGGCGAGACCTCGGGCGACCCGCCGGAGCCCGCCCCGGAGGCCGCAAACGGGCGACCGCTGCGCTTCCGCCCAGGGCCAGAAGCCCCAGGGCAACCATCGACTTTCCCCGAGCGGCGGCCCGCAGCACCGTCCGTCGGACCGCCGGGGCCAACGTAAGCGGGAGAGGGGGCGACCGTTGCAGCAGGTCGCTCTTCCAAGCAGAAATTCAACTCATACGCCCAAGAATCTGTCTCTGGACAAAGTGAGGGGCATTCGCGGAAGAAGCCTGGGCAGGCCAGTGCCCCGCGGGCCTCGGGGCCGCAGGAAAGCCCGTGGACTCCGGATTCTTCTGGGGGGCCTGGTCTTCTCAAGGTCTGCAACCAAGAAGACGCCCCCGCAGAGGAAGTCGCACGCCCCGCCGCGTTGCGTCGCCGCTCGAGCAGGGCTCGACTTGGAGCGCGGGGTCGGCACCTATCCGGGGCGAGGAAGCTGTGGCACCTT